ATATATATATATATTCAGAATATCAAGGGACCATCAAATGTGACTAGCCTTCTCTCCACTAACTACATATTAAAATCTTACAGTCAATTTGATTTTGTAAAGTAGTGTAAAATATTGTAATATTAATCCTTGTTTTCTGATCTCAGACATTGATCTTTAGTGTGCAATTGTAAACCTTGCTCTTCTGACTTGAAGACAAGGTTTTACTTGTTCCCCTTTTTACAGTTTGTAATTTTCACTTTTATTCCTGTAAAAAGTCATTTGTAACACATGCAAATGCTTATTTTAGCTGTGCTAATTTATCAAATTTGGCTACTCAATAAAATTAATTGAAAGAGCTTGCATAGAATTTTATCGGTGTTTTTATAAACAAAATGGAATATGCAGAGACTATCTGACCATTTAATGAATAAAATGATTTTCAGTGCATAAAGAGGTACTTCTATGAATGATTAAACCTGGGGATTAATGCTATTTAAATGCAGTGCAAATTGATTGAACTGATTGAAATACAAGTATTTTAATATAAGCAGTTATTCTTCTGAAACTTCACATTCAGCAATTAGTTTCAATAAATATGCAGAATTATAATGTAAAGAATTGCTGGGTCATTGACTTAAATATGATGGTCTGACCATTAATTAGAATGCTCCTCTGAGAATCGTAATTAATCAACTTTAAGCCGGTTAAATTTCAGTAATCATAATAGACTCTTCACAATATCAGAAAATATTATATATCTCAACTTGTCCACAATTCTAACCAATACATCTATGTACATAAAAACTTTGGAAAGTGAATAAAAACTTCAGTATCTATTTGGAATAGTATATCATTTTGTTAAATTAACTCAGACTTTTTCATGAAAGATTAAGATTTTTGGAAGTATTTTATTATTTTTCACAAAGGTAGCTCAGCCAGCTTTTTCTTACATTACATATAATAGCTTATTCATTGTAATTACTTAAATCATTTTGTCCTGTAGCCAGGAAACACATTTGGTTATAAGCAACATATTATACTGTCAAGCCTTAGCAGTGAAAGCGTTTAACTTTAACTGGGTATATCTGACCCTGATTAGAACTGGACAGGGAAGTTTAAGGAAAAACAAGAGCTTAAAACGAGACTGGGAAGTTATCTCACAAAAAAGCAATGGCAAATCACTTCTTTGTTCTCAACACATATCTATAAAATCATGAGGAATTTAGTTTGGCTTGGAAGATTTTTATGAATTATATGTAGTATATTATTTATCTGTACTATTTTTCTCTCTCTTTTCCTATCAAGATCCTATTATTTTCTGCACATATAAACTTGATAGAAAACTTATATTTAAGGATCTTTCTACAACAATCAAAGCCATGATAAATTATCAACTCCTTCAGCCTTGAGAATACATATTACATGCAGTTTATAAGAGGGAAAGTATTTATATCAAGGAACGATGGAACAGAAGGCAAAAATTAACATCTAGAACTGTTCTGACAACCCCCTCCGTACAATGAGTCACGACAATATAAGATTACTGCTAGACAATTTATTCACAGTAAATTAACACACTGACGAGACACTGGCAGCAAACCAGACTTCCACAGATAAGAAATACATACAAGAGCTTCTCCAGCTTTAGTATAATGGTGGTGTCCT